GCCAACAAGCTTTGCATCGGTCATTGGCTGCGTCTCATCCGTGTCCCACCCAACTGGAACAGGTAGCTTTGGAGCGGGTCCTATGGCAGTGTTTAGATTGACGCAGTGTAAACTAAAGTTCAAGTCATGTGAAGCTTAATCAGGTTCACCCAAGGAAGATCCAATGTAATGTACAGCACACCATACATCAAGTGCTGGGGAAACAAAAACACTAGTTTGTTGAGCCCCTGGTCCTTGATCAAAGCGCTGCGCTTTCTCTCGAGCATTCCTAAGTGGAGCGGACTGAAGCCCAAGAACTTAGAGACTTAGAGGTCACCTGATAGTTAGTCCCAAAGTTTCTGTCCAAAAACATGGGTCCCACATTGGCGGATAGCACCGCAATACATTAGGCTCTATCCACACTCTTTCATTGACCGACACACCACGGCCGAGCCCATGAAACTAAGGAAAGCATCTCCGAGACCTTCATCTTCACATTCCTCAACCTTTCTGCAATCAGCTCACGCGCTGCTTTGAGACGACTGGAAAGCTCTGCGCCTGGGCTGTGCACTAGCTTCAGGTTTCAGATTGGGGTTGGTTAGGGAAACATTGGCAAAGCCATTGGAAAGTAAATTTGACAAAGGGTTGAACATAGAACAGCTTACTTTAGCACATGTTGAGATTCTCGGGATCGTTGGGCTTGGATCCTCTGGTTTGGCTGAAGCAGCGGGACTGGTAGTAGGGATGTCCGATTGAGCCTCATCCAACCACTTCTTGAAATCTGCAAACTCCTTCTTGCTTGTTTCATCCAAGCCATCAGCGTTGTTGTCCTCATCATCCTCATCGTCATCATCCCCAATTGACGACGACGCGGTGCTGGACCGGCGACATGAAGCCAAGTAGGTTTCAATGACCTCCTGAGGGGATGACTTAGTCCAACCTTCCAAACACTTCCACATCCAACCATGCCCCTAGTGGCAACAATACCTATGGAGCACATGCACTTTGTTTGGGTAAATCCTCCAACCCACCCCAGTCCTTCATGTCAGGATCAAAGGCCAAAATCAGCTCATGGAAGGATGGGTCCTGACAGGGTGGTTTCCATAAAGCCTCCTAGCTGACCCTTTCAGTGTCCCAAAATGAATTGTTTCAAAAGCTCTACAAAAACCAACACCAATTGAGATGAGTTCCATAATCTAACCCTGGCCCCTTTCCTTGGTCACCTCCTTCCTGCCAGAGCGCCGCTTTACAAACCCAGCCAGCTTCTTAAGCTCCACACTGGTCTTGTAGGCCAACTTTTCCCCAACACCAACTCCACACTTTTGAAGCAAAGTGGTGACTTCATTGGTCAAGTCTTCCAAGTGTGGGAGGCTTCTTTGGGGTGTTCGTTGAAGGCGCTGCAATATGGGCATCAGGACAATTCGATTGTTCACCGCATTAGGGCGGTTGGGCTTACAATACTTGTCACTTTCTGCATGGGTCAAGATCCGCTTCTCCTCTCTGACACGGGTCCGAAGCTCCACATTGGCTTCCCATTCAGCAGCAAGCCCAATGCAATCCATGTCCAAAAGGCTTCCACTTTTGGTGAACAGGGATTTTGAATCAAAAAGGCTTTGGCACACGGAGGCCCAGGATAAGCAACATCCAGGTGTCAAAAACAAAGCCAATCTTTGGGGTGACTGCTTAGTGCAACCCCTTAAAATAATCCCTTCAAAGTTCACCAAGTACTGCCTGCATTCCCAGGTGACACCCCACTGCGCGGAGCGGAAAAATGGGGATCCCGGCTGGCCGAATCACCAGGGAAGATCTCCACATGCACACCATCACATGCCCAGCACGGGGCAGCGGTGCGGAGGTTTAAGCTGGGATTGAGGATCCAAAGCAAAAGTTTATGAGTGCATGTTGATCAAATTGAGGGTGGATCCACAGCACAAAGTTCTTGGAGGGATTTCAACATTGCAGGGATTCCATCATGAACCTCATGTCTCAATTTCATATGACATGACCCGACTTTGGGCCATGAATTGCCAACCTCGCACCCACTGGATCTGGTTCCTATGGGATTGTATTCAAACAAGTCTTCCAAGGACATGTTGAAAATAGGGTCCCTAAAAAATAGACAACTATTTTTAATAATAGACAACTATTTGGTCCACTCCAACAAAATAGTCAACTATTGTTTTTCCACCCCACAAAAAAGTGGGTAGAAGGTTCAGTAGGTATATATATATCCTCTGCATGCGGCCCGAGTTCGTTCAGTGACTCTTCGGTATTTAGGTGCCCATTTCGCTTCGAACCTCTGAAACCCGACTCCATCGACCAGGACAGAAAGTCGCCCACACTTTGGGGGACACCCCTCAGCCCCATAAGCCTAAGCCTTCACTCACCTCTAAGAACCAGGCCAATACCAGGGGTCACGTTCGACGGTTTTTTTTGTCCCATCCAGGGGCCGTGGATGTGACAGGGGCACCCCTATCCTCCAAGTTCGGCACCCCGTCGAACGTGACTCCTGGTATACAAACATGCCGATTTGAGCCGAGGGCTTGACCTGTAGGGGAAGATGTACTTGCATGCTACCAATGGCCCCACCCCACTGTATGTCAATAGTGCCAGATCTATACCAGGACCCTCCAAAAGCTGACGTCATTCTCGTCTCTGAGAGGTGAGTGGTGCCCCAAACACCCACCGGAACTTGCGCCTAGCCGGGCCCTGGAACCGGTGCCGTGTCTCGGAAAAAGAAACACCGGCGCCGAGTCTCTTCGCCTCGCTGAGACATGGTGCTACGACGCGTCCGTCGTTTGGACGATCGAGCGGTCCGAGAGACCTGACGAAGCGGCGCGGGATGGACCCCGGGACACACCCAGCCATCCCAAAACCAGCTGTGCTCGCAGCTTTGGCAGGAACATTCGGTTGCTATGACCCGTTTGCAACCGAATGTCATGAGCTCCTCTCCGACTTCGACCCCAAGATGGAGACGGTCAAGACCAACGAAGCACAATTCCACCAAGCACCATAAGTTCCACCAGTCCCAATGTGGGTCACCGAGTCTGGGATGGTCAAGCTCTGCAGAGAGCTGCAGTTCTGAAAGGTTCTGTCCCTGATGCAGCTCAATGAGCTTGAGATGGTGAAGCTCGTCAGAGAGCTGCAACTCTGAAAAGCACCCTCTCCGAGGTGGGCCACTGAGTCTGGGATGGTCAAGCTTGCTAAAGAGCTGCAATTCCGAAAAGCCTCGGCCTCAATGTGGGTCACAGAGTCGGGGATGGTGAACCTTGTCAAGGGTTTGCAGTTCTTCAAGGCACCCCTCCCAATGTATGTCACTGAGTCCGGGATGGTTAAATTTGCCAAGGAGGTGCAATTCGCAAAGGCATCCTCCCCAATGTGGGTCACTGAGTTTGAGATGGTCAAGTCTGCCAAAGAGCTGCACTTGGCGAAGGTACCTTTCCCAATGTGAGTCGCTGAATCTGGTATGGTAAAGTTCGCCAAGGAGGTGCAATTCGCAAAGGCATCCTCCCCAATGTGGGTCACTGAGATTGGGATGGTCAAATTCGCCAAGGACCTGCAATTGGCAAAACAACCATTCCCAAGGCGGGTCACTGAATCCGGGATGGTCACGTCAGCCAAGGATTTGCAACCGTCGAAGGCGCCATCCCCGATGCAGGTCACTGAGTTGGGGATGGCCAGTCTCGCTAAAGAACTGCAAAGCCTGAAAACACCAGCCCCAATGCTGGTCAATGAGTTTGGAATGGCCACTTCTACCAAAGAGCTGCAACAATTGAAGGCTAAATCTCCAATGTGGGTCACTGAGTTTGGAATGACCACGTCTACCAAAGAGCTGCACTTCGTAAAGGCAAAGTCTCCTATGTGGGTCAGTGAATCTGGAATGCTCAGTTTGGCCAACACTTTGCAGTCTCGGAAGGCAAACTTTGCAATTTCAGTTGTGTGGGCGGGGAGTTCAACCACCAGAAGTTCTGAAGCGCTCCCTTGGCCAACTCTGACACACTGGAGCAGGTCACAGTGTTTGGTTTGAAAATCACACTCATGAGTCCCACATCTGCCACGGGTTCATCATTGCGCAGTAACCGGTCCCCAACCAGAATCTCTATGATCGTCGTTCGACAAGTCACCTCGTCCCAGGTCAGTTGCCGCTCGTCCCGGATCTTCTGCTTGAGCTCTCGACCAGTCGTCCCTGGCATGACCTCGAGATCAAGCATTTCACCATTGACCTGCAGCAGTGAAAGTCTCAGCGCCATGGCTGAGCTACGAGCACTTGGGCAGTTTTCTTCCAGTGATCTATGATCTATAGGTGCCAATGTCTGCTGTGGACTTGCTCGCAGTAGACTTGCCATCCACAACCTGCGATGTCCAGGGGAGGTATAGGGGAGGTACCAATTTATACCGGCATATCAGTTGTACACGACCAGTGGCATCCCCTCATTTAATCCACCAACCAATATAATATTAGTCCAACCCCCTTGATGGCGCGCGCCCCCAGCGGATCCCGGATCAAAGTGAAGACCCGCCAGCTCCACTGGCTCCGCTGTGGCATGGCCCAGCTCCGCTTGTCGGGGAGGGAGAGGGAGGAACACAGGACACCCGCAGCGTCGTTTGCTGAGCTATGAAGGGACTTGGGAGGGGCGTCAGTCCTAATGTAGACTCTTGATTCATAAACCCCCCCATATGAAGAGGATGTCCAATCCAAATTTGGTGGGGTTATTAATCCCCCAGGGATCCAGTCGTACCTTCTCAGGTACGGTGAGGACGGAGACTATTGATGTAGGCGCCAGCCAGTCGGGCCCAGTCGTACCTCCTGAAAAGGTATGTGGATCCTTAGGGATCAAGAGTCTACAATTCTATAACTTCGGTCCTCACTTGGAAGACTTCGGGGGTGTTTCGTGTTTCCACCACCTCTTCAGGGAGAAGAGTCGGTCAGGACGTGGACCTCAGCTGGACGTCCCGCGCCCAAGCGGTCGCCACCGGTCGCCGGTCGCCACCGTGTCCGCCGTCCGCCGCCCCCCCCCGTCCTTCGGCTTCGGCTTCGGCTTGGGCTTCCTCGGCGCCTTGTTGGGCTGAGACCGTCACCCCAGTACTGCCGACCGCTGGTCAGCCAAACGGCAGGTCAGAACAGCCAGGTCAGCTAACCCCTCCCCCAAAAAAGGTTGGCCACCTTGATCATGAAAACGCCACCGTCATGAGGTGACCTCGTGCCTTTTCTCAGTTCAACCCTGCCCTATAGTCCTCGGTGTTTGGTCCAGTGTCCGGCGCTTTCAACTGAAGCACCGCACCTCCGCCTCCGCAGCATCGGCCGACCCCGCCGCTTCCGCCGCGCCGCGGGGAATAGCGGCGGACCCCGCCGCTTCCGCGGGTGCGTCGGCCGGCACGAGCCTGGGCGAACAGAAACGGAAGGAGTCGGACCCGGACAACATCTGGGGTACCGTAACTGGGGGTTTTTCGGAAATATATAGGGTTCTTGAACCTCGGGACTGAGAAGCAGGAACAAAGGCAGCAACAATGGCAGTCGGTCGTAGCCGTAGTTGTAACTTAGTGGGTCCCGGTCCTGGTCCCGATGGATCTGGGTGGCTTCGCTGTCTAAGGACGATCACCATTTGGTCCAAACGTGTCCCAGACTCGGCTGGAGTGGAGCAATCTGAAGCACGGTTTTGACTTCAACGCCCTTCTGAAGCTCCATGATTGACTCAGTTCATCTCCTTTCCCCACCGACCCGCACTCACAATCCACCACTATCAGTTAGGGGTAGACTCAAAAAGATTGAAGAAGTATTCCAAAAGGTAAAAAGACTGGATTTACGTGCCTGGACCTTTTGAAAGGGAGGGGTGTCCTGGCTGGAGGTCCCTTAGTGGTGTAATTAGGGGCGGCTGTTCGCCAGGTGACCCCGAGGTCCTGAAGATGCTGGAAATCATATACTCATGCTCTACGACCTCACCGCCTCCTTGCTCCACCGCCCTCGCAGCCTCCTTGCTCCACCGAGCCGCTCGCGCAGCCGCACGGCCGACGCGCCCAGCGCCGCCAGGCCGCGCTGCTGGACGCGGCGCGCGGCCGCGCTGGGCGCGGAGGGGGCGGAGGCCTCCGTCTCCTGGGCGGAGGACATCGGAGGACTTCGAGAGTTCGAGCGAACCTTCCAGATTATAGCCTCATCCAAAGCCAAGGTCCTAATACCAGGACCCTCCTGGCCAGGCCGTTTGGAGACCCTGACAGGTGGTGAACCTGGGCATCGGTTGTCACCAGAGAGCACCGAACTTGGTCGCTGCATTTTTGACCCGTCTTTGCTCCAGTGTGTCAGTAAGTGTCTTCTGCTTTTTGATGAATGAGTGTGTTCATCGTGGTTCCGGTTTGTCCTGTCTTCCAATCTTTCATGCCTTGTGTGCTGCAGAGTCATGTTCTCGACATGCTGCTGCTGAGTGGTGCGCACGCCGCTGCTTGGTTGGGAGAAGAGCTCTTCCCTGGTGAGAATGGTGTCAATGGTCAGTAGTGCCAGTAGAGGTCCGTAGAGGCATGTTGAGTGTCTGGCCATGAAAGACCAAACAATTCCATGCAAGTTGTTCGATGCATACACTGGGGTGCCGAAAGTTGCGCTTCTTGACTTCAAAAACGGGACAAACCCTTTCCCCTTAGAATCCTACGTGCAACATGTCGACACCTAAGTTGCGGTCAGATTTCCACACCTGAAAGCCTTATAAGTATCATAAATTTAAACGGGTGTGGAAATCTGACCGTGCTGTACCTGCCAGGCAAAATGGACGTGTCAATCCGATCCGCTGTAGACCGCAAGTGTCAAGTTGGAACAGAGTAAGAAGCGTAAACTTTAGGGTTCTTGAAGTATTTATGATTATTCTATTTACATCCCCGTGTGAACTCAGGGTCTACCCTGTAACCCTTTATCTGTAGCAAAAACCAGGCTCCAGACCCCAGATGCCCTACTATAAAATCAAGATCACAGATCAAACAAAACAGGAATAATACTATAAAGTCAAAAGCACATGCTTGGCTGGAAAGTGACACCTGATCGCAAACCCTCCCGCATGTCAATTCTAATTCGCTTATAAGGGCAGAAAAGCTACTACGAACGGAGCGGCAGAAGCCTACGGCTACGTAAAGCCGCTAAAGCCGCTCGAGCTCTTTCAGCCGTTGCTGGCGGGCTTCGGCGTGTAATCTCATCCACAGCTCTTCCTCCATCGGACAATGGTGCACCGCCCGGTCCAAGACTTCCACGGCGTCCGCCACGTCGGCCAAGCGGATCCTGAGCTTGCTTGCGGGCGGGCGGGCATGGAGGCGGAGGGGTAACCCGGTCATGCTGCTTAAGTAGGTCTCCTTCAGTGGACGGTGGTGGTATTGGTCTCCACACTTCCTCCGAACCGATCAGGGCGGCGTGCTTGGACCGAGCGTCGTCTCGAGCGGTCCGAGCGTCGGGTGTCCAACTCGGCACGAACTCGGCTCGCAGGTCAGACGAAGGTGGACAGGTGATGTCGGATACATGGCTTTCGGAGGTTGGCACAAGCTTTTTCCCCTCCTTCTACCTCACCCTAACCCGACTCCCTTGAACCTGTCAAACAGAAAGAATGATGCTGTGGGCATCTCCCCCATGGCATTGCCTGCTTCCAAGTCTCCAATGCCTGACCTCCTTTGGGTCAAACTGCGTGCAGCGTAGCAACGCACACGCGATCCGCTCCTTCTCCCCGCTCTGCTCCTCCAGCCGCAGCAGCTCCTCCGCGATCTCCGCCGGGCTCGCGCCCGCCGCGCCCGAGGGCGCCGTGGAGACCATGACCTTTTTGGCGGTCCGGGCGTCGGCGGAAGCTCCGAAAGACCGGTGAAGACAGGAAGTGTTTCAGATGGCAAGAATGGTGTTGGATAGTTGATGATGATGATGATGATAATGAGGAGGAGGAGGAGGAGAACGACGAGGAGAAGGAGCATGTGTTCTTTTCCTTTCCAAGAGATTCTGATTTCTGCGGAATTCTCGCCTGATACATCTGAGACAGTGAGTCATGGTGATAGTGTGGATGGTCATGGCTGGGATCCCAGCGCCATGACCCTAAAGGAAGGACCTTTTGTGCGCCCAAAACAGCCGCCCCCAAAAAGAACCCATATCAAATGCACGGTGGTTTTTAGGACATTCCAATTTTTCGGTGCTTTTTGGGCCACCCCTTGTTTTCCTCCCTGCTTTCAGGCGGAGAGTCACGGTCTTCCTTTGGAACCCGGTGGTGAAGGAGTTCCCGTCGTGCTGCATCCAACGGACACGAAGTCGTTGGCGCGGCGTCCAGCAGGAGCTGGTGAGCTGGGTTTTGGAGGGCTTCCGGGTCACCGTCAAAAGTGAATGAATCGCCGAAAAATCCCGAACAACCTACCAGGATCATCCTGGACCTGGGTCTCCTGGCGAGACCGACTACCCGACTCCCTATATACGGTCTACCAGGTCTCCAGACCTCCAGGGCACCCGGACTGTGTCAGTGCTAGGTACGAAGGATTTCTTGACGCGACGCTTCCGGACGCATCGTGTTGAGTGGTTTTTCGCCGCGCCGAACCACCGAAGGACGGCGGAAGAACGCCGCGGTCATGGAGTCCGGGCTTACCGTTCCCCCATTCGGAGGAGCGCTGTGAGGAGCTAATTGAAAGAGAAATCTTCAGAAAAACATTCAACGATCTTGGGTGTATCCCAGCATCAAGAATATACAAAAACCGAACTCTAAGACCCACAGTGCTTCATTTGACTTGACCATTCACTATTCATTCTTGGTGGGGATCAAAAACAGCCCCAGTCTTCACACACAAGTCAAGCTAGTCACCGACTTATAACTTATAACTCATAACCCTCAAAAAGAACGGGAAAAAAAACATGTCTGTTGCTGCCAATTCCTGCTCCCTTCCCCATGCCTTCTTCGAACACGCGGCGATCAACCGCCTCGCCCTTCAAGTCCGAGGCACCAACGAGGGCCGACAGGCCTCGCGCAGCTTCAGCTCCAAGGGCTCCCGCGGCGCCCAGCGCTCGGCCGCCGCGGCGCTGAGCGCCGCCATCTTGGCGTGGGCCGTGCGGCTCTGGAGCTTCGGCTCCAGGGCACCTGGAGAAGCACACCGAGGCATCGGCGCACACCGGCGCCGAGGCGGTGTGAAGGAATCGGACAAGGAATCCGGAGGATGAGAGAGGGGGGTAGACTCTGGAGCTTCGAGAGGTGAAGACTCGGGAGGCGTGGGCTGACGGCCAAGCCGTTTCTTTCTTGATGCATGAAGCTGTCCTTGAGACACTTTGTATAGATGCATTCCAACTTCAGCTGCATTTCCTGCGTTTGGCCAACGGGCACCTCTCAAAGGCACCGTCTCCAACGTGGCCTACGGACTTCGGGATGGTCAAGTTCACCAAAGAGCTGCAATTCCGAAAGGCGCCATCCCCGATGTGGGTCACTGAGTTGGGTATGGTCAAGCTTGCCAAAGAGCTGCAACTCTCAAAGCCGCATTGCCCAATGTGGATCACTGAGTCCGGGATGGTCAAGCTCGCCAAAGAGCTGCAATTCTCAAAGGCACCAGAAGCAATGTGGGTCACTGAGTGTGGGATGATCAACTTGGCCAAGGATTTACAATTCTTAAAGGCAAAAGTTCCAATGTGGATCACTGAGTTTGGCAGGGTCAAGCTGACCAAAGAGCTGCAATCCCGAAAGGCACCATCCGCAATGTCTGTGACTAAGTCTGGGATGGTCAAGTTTACCAAAGACTTGCAGTTCTTAAAGGCAGCCACCCCCATGTGGGTCAGCAAGTTTGGCAGAGTCAAGTTGACCAAAGAGCTGCAATCCCGAAAGGCACCATCCCCGATGTGGGTCACTGAGTCTGGGATGGTCAAGTTCACCAAAGAGCTGCAATTCTCAAAGGCAACATCTCCAATGTATGTGACAGAGTTTGAGATGGTCAAGTTTGCCAAAGAGTTGCAGTTCTGAAACGCACCATCCCCAATGTGGATCACTGAGTTCGGAATGGTCAAGTTCGCCAAAGAGCTGCAATATGCAAAGGCAACATCTGCAATGCGGGTCACTGAGTCCGGGATGGTCAAGTCCACCAAAGAGCTGCAATTCTCAAAGGCACCAGCTCCAATGTCAATCACTGAGGTCGGGATGAGCAAGTTGGCCAACGATTTACAATTCTTAAAGGCAACAATTCCAATGTGGGTCACTGAGCTCGGCAGGGTCAAGCTGACCAAAGAGCTGCAATCTCGAAAGGCACCATCCGCAATGTCTGTGACTAAGTCTGTGATGGTCAAGTTTACCAAAGACTTGCAGTTCTTAAAGGCAACAATCCCCATGTGGGTCAGCAAGTTTGGCAGAGTCAAGTTGACCAAAGAGCTGCAATCCCGAAAGGCACCATCCCCGATGCGGGTCACTGAGTCTGGGATGGTCAAGTTCACCAAAGAGCTGCAATTCTCAAAGGCAACGCCCCCAATGTATGTGACAGAGTTTGAGATGGTCAAGTTTGCCAAAGAGCTGCAATTCTGAAACGCACCAACCCCTATGTGGATCACTGAGTTCGGAATGGTCAAGTTCGCCAAACAGCTGCAATATGCAAAGGCACCATCTGCAATGCGGGTCACTGAGTCTGAGATGGTCAAGCTCACCAAAGAGCGGCAGCCCTTAAAGGCACTTTGTCCAATGTGGATGACTGAGTTCGGGATGGTCAAGTTCGTCAGAGAGCTGCAATCCTGAAAAGCAGCGTTCCCAATGTGGGTCACTGAGTCTGGGATGGTCAAACTGGCTAAGGCTGTGCAACTCTCAAAGGCATGGTTCCAAATGTGGGTCACGGAGTTTGGAATGGTAAGGTTCCCCAAAGAGCTGCAATTCCGACAGATCTCCCGAATGTGGGTCACCGAGTTTGGGATGGTCAAACTGGCCAAGGACGTGCAACTCCGAAACGCACCATCCCCAATGTGAGTCACTGAGTCTGGCATGGTCAAGCTCACCAATGAGTGGCATGCCCGAAAGGCGCAGAGCCCAATGCGGGTGACTGAGTCCGGGATGACCACTTTGGCCAGCAGATTGCAGCCTCGGAAGGCATGAGCAGCAATTCGAGCTTCGTGGTCTGGGACTTCAACCACAAGCAAGACCTCCTTGTCTATCTGCCTGCGAAAGCTGGCGATCGCGTATTGGTCAGAGCACCTCACGGTGTTTGCTTTGAAAATCACACTCAAATCAGCATCAAAGGCGCCATCCACAGCATCCTCCACCTTCTCATCATTTCCCAAGAGCCGATCTCCGACAACAATCTCCACCACAGTAGTGTTCCGAGTGGCCTCGTCCCAGGTCAGCTGCAAGTCTCTAACCTGCTGTTTTAGCTCTCTGCCTGTGGTCGTTGGTGTCACTTGAAGCGAAATCCTTGTGCCATTGACCTGTAGTGCTGAAAGTCTCCTCGCCATGGCTCGCCAGCGGTTGGCCTGAAATTGGTTGCCTCAAATGGATGTTCTTCTACCACGGGGGTCACCTTCGGACCTGGGGTTGACGGTCCCATCCGTCAGAGCCGTGGATGTGATGTGACATGTGCTGCCGTCTGCCGCACCGGGCAACTCCTTCCGGCACCGGCACCGGCACCCTGGACCTTCTTTAATAAAAGAGGAGAATCGCTGGTCAGGTCGAAAGACTGTGGGTTGAAACCACTGCTGTGGAGTCACTCTCATCAGAAAGCTGCGTGGTGAAAAAGATTACCATACAGGTCAGGAGTTCCTGACCTCGTGTTATAGGAGTGGGTCAAACCAGTTCACACGACTCAATCTACTCAATCAAATTAAAGGACCAGGTGTTATTGGGTCTTCTTCTGATCTTCGGACCGGCGCATGGAATCGGCCACCTTCCAATTGTCGCGCCGTGGAGCCCCTGCTTCAAACCACCTACTTCCTCCGTGTGAAAACCACGGTCGTTCCACCCCGCGGTCCGAGGACGGAAAACGCGCGTCCGTTCCGAAACCTCCGCTGACCTCATTAAGACGAGGTCGGAGGACCTCCGAGGACCCCGGGTCGAGGCGACTTAGGGTTTCTTTTGCCCATGCAGACACTCCATGTAACGTGTGGAACACCAACTTCAGTGGGTCTGGAGCATGAGAAGGTGGACCATTTTCCACTTCTTGAAACCAAAACACCGACTTCTTCCCGACTTCTTCCCGCACCTTCGAAGGTCTGGTGAGTTTCTTGAAGCCTCTCCCTCCCGGGCAACGGCAAGGCCATCTGCCTCATGAAGAGCGTCCTCACCTCGAAGCAGAGCGTCCTCACCCCCCCCGGTAGCAGGTGACTTTCGGTAGGCTTGCTGGCCTGCTATTTATAGGCATTTACCGCACCAGCTAGCTACGTATTTTACACAAAACATCACAAAACCAGGTCAAACAGTGTTTCAATGGTCTTAGGGCTTTGGGACGGGATGAAGACGTGTCTCCTTTAAGTTCTGGTTGAGAGGCGGAGAGGTCTGGAACTCCACTGCGACGCACGAAGCACGACACTCAATATTGAAAGAAGATGTTGCACCCAACAGAGCAAACGTCCTTGGCAAATCTTTGGAGAGGGTGCAGTGGCACCTCAAGTGATGCTATACTTACCCCATGCACCTATGAAAAAAAAAATTAAAAAAAACAGCATGCCAAGCCGCTCGCTGCACCTGCAGAGCCTTCTCGTCTGCACCTGCTGCACTGAGCAAGTTCTCTTCGAAGTCCCGGTAGTCGGCCCAAATCTCCACGCCGTACCTGTCGGACGCGGCGAACGACGGACGTCGGACGGACTACGGCCGGACTCCACGGACTCAGACGGACTCGTCTCGGCGCGAGCGCTTTAGACGTCTCGGCTGACGTCTCGTCGGTTCGAAAGGGTTTGGTAACTGGAGAAGCCCGGATGGGCTCCAAGTACCTTCTCAGAAAGTGTTTGGAGTGGGTTTGGAGGGTCCAAATACCTTCTGAGGATGTCTTTGGAGTCCTAGAGAAGTACCATGAGAAAGCACGTTCCAATCGCCCACGGCTTTTGGGGGCGATCCGCGCACCACATGAAGCTCTGCTCCTTCCAGAAGCTCAGATCTGCAGTTCCAGACCCCCCCAACTTTCATCAACCAAGCTGCCCTGGATGCTGCCCCAGTACTTTCAAGGCCTCTTCATAGACCGAACGCACCTTGCCAGCATCGGACGACCTCTCTCGGTGTAGCGCGCAGCGCGCCAGCCAGACCTCGGCTCTGGCGCATCGCTGACGCCGTTGGTAGCGAGGAGTCGGCCATGGACTGGGAATGGAACAATGGATGAAAATGGGTGTCTATTGATCGCCGCTAATGGGATCGAGGTTTCGGGGTGGTTTTGGAACATCCATGGCCCAAAAACAGCGGAAGTTGTCACACCAGAAACTCACCAGAAACTACCTGACCAACACCCAAACCTTTGCCGAACCATCTTGGAATTTGGATGAGTTTGGACAATGGCACAGTTTCAGTGGACACCCGTATACTGGCTGAGAGAGTGAGAGAGAGAGAGAGAGAGAGCGCCAATCGACCTTCACCCTGCCATCCCCAAGCTCCATTGCGGCCCGCCAAGGCACAGGCCCCGTGGGGCACATGGCACAGGCCCGGCGGTGCAAGTCGTCCAGCGCCTCAACTTCAGCAGGTTCGGTGGCCAAGGGCAGTTCATCTTGGAGCCACTCCAACCAGAAGGACTCCGGCAGAGCCACCTGAGCCAGCGGAATTGGTCGGTTCTTCTTGGCGAAAAGGATTTTGGGGTCTGAAAGTGCCAAGGTTCTGGAGATGAATGGAGATGAACGACGGTAGAGGGCGGGATCAGATTTTGGGGAGACCCAAGTAATGGGAGAAATCGACATGAAGAGAAAGTCTGGGCCCCTTGGAATTCAAGGATGTTGAACAACCTGAACCTGGAAGATTCGCCCCAAAGGATTGAGGATTCCAACCATTTGTTGGTCAAGGCTCGACGGAGCAAACCATGATGTTTTCATATTCTTTCACACTACAAACCAGGGCAAGATAATTATGGTCTTTGAAGGCTACTAAGGCCTTTGGACCCTAAATCCCATTCGCCACCGCCGCACTCACGAGGAACCCATTTTCCCTCCCACCGCGCGACCCGATCGGCGGCCGCGTCCCGCGCGCGGCGGAGCTTCTCCAGCTGGGCGCTTTCCCGGAAGGCGCTCACCAGCGCGGCATGAAGCTCCTCAGAACCAGCAGAGGTCGAAGAGCCCGACCCATTCGACTGTCCCAGTTGGTTACAACAGGTATTTCCAGGTCCGACTCGTTCAGGTCACTTATATAACCTCTGTTGGACGTGCCTAGACCATCCAATTTGTACAACTAGCAACCCGACGTGTTTTTGCCCCGTGGCAGGGAGACCGATGTTTGGTGCCAACGGGTCGACGTGCAGAGACGACTGTAGACTTGAAGTGGCAGGTGGTGACCTGCCAGCCACCAATGGCCTCCTTGTTGGAACCTGTACCTGTTCCATGACCTTCCATGACCCCATCCATGGATGGGTCTGTACTGGCCTGGCCGAGCTCGCTCGCGTCGAGAGCGTGGTGGTTCCGGGCGTCGAACGTGCCTCCACTCGTTCGTACCCACCGAAGGTTGCCACACACACCCTCCCTACAAGCCCCCACACAGGGTGCCGCGCATGTCATCCCTTGCCTTTGAAAAGAAGAGGGCCAACAAAAAGGCACCCTTGCAATGGCCTCTCCTATCACGTCCGTGGTTAACAATATGCCAGCACCATCGATTTACGAAGTGCTACACCCCCCAAATAGGTCCATCGTGGCTGCAATCTTTGCAAACGAAGTGCTTGGTCGTAAGGATTCCTGAGCGCTGCGAGATCTCTGCGAACTTTCTGATGGATACACTACAGGTCAAGGATTGTGACTTCTTTCGATTGGATCCGGTGATGCAAAAACAGTACTCAATAAGGTTAGGGACAAAGGTTTACTTGCTCATTGGACTTGCAGGGGATGGTAATAAATGAAGTCAAGCAAGGTCG